TTTTCTTAGAGATGGCCATAGTTCCTGAGTATTATGTAGTTTTTTCTTGGCCTCTATAGGTATCACACTTAATATATGTCTTTAAGTGTGACCTACACCACCTAGAAAACACATTTAGCTGAAACACTTGCTGAAAATTTCTTTTTTCCTCAAAATCACAGTATTTCTAAATTACTGCTATTTATGTTCCTATTGTCTCTAATAGAATAGGTTACTTAATGCAAAAATTAGTTTTTTTTTATAATTACAGTTTTAAAATTTAGCAAAGGATGTTTTACTTTATTTTGGAAATTGGTACTGAAGTTGAGTGCCCTTTGTGACTGATAATGAAAGGACATTAGCTTTTAAAAATCAGTAGCTATGTAATTTTAAAATGTATAAAGTAATCACTAAGCTTACTGATTAAAATAATTGGACCTTGGCTTTAAATGAAAATAAAACCTAGGAATAGATTTTTTAAGAAGCACCGACAACTGGATGTGGTGTTGCATGCCATTATTTTCATGAAAGTGACTCTCTTTGACTTCAAGGTCACCTTGATCTACATACTGAGTATCCTGAAAATAAAATTAATTAATTAACTACCTAATTAACTAATGCATCCACAGAGAAGTAAAACCATAAATATGTTTCAACCATTTCAATCACTTTTTTTAGAAACAAAGCCAATGTGACTGAGATCAGGAAAGGCTTGTGTTTGGAATGTTGATATCTCTTATATCTTTATTTCTGAAGTTATTTATTTTTACCTGAAAATATATTTTGAAAATATTCCCCCTGGGACATTATTCATTGTTATACTATATATTTATGAATAATTTTGTATAAGATATAAATTGAACACATGATTTTATAGAAATAATCATATTTACATCAAAATTGAAATGATTCCCTAGAACATTTTAACATATATTTCATGATCCATCTTTGTCATTTTACTATGAATTTAGCTTGTTGATTTAGAAACAATATTTCAAGGGGTTGTCTTGTCGAAATCACCAAATATAAGGAGAAAAATAATCCTTAGATCATTTTATTAGACTAAAATATCACATGGAGCCATTATTTTTAAGTGTTTTTTTATTGATTTTATTGAGCTATATATTTTTCTCTGCTCCACTCCCTTCCTCTGCTCAGTGCTTCAACCCTCCCCCACAGTCCTCATGCTCCCAATTTGCTCAGGAGATCTTGTTTTTTTCTACTTTCCATGGAGATTAGATGCATATGTGTCTCTCTTAGGGCCTTCTTTGTTGTCTAGGTCCTCCAGGATTGTGAATTGTAGGCTGGTTTCCTTTGCTTTATGGCTAAAAGTCACGTATGAGTGAATACATATGATTTTTGTCTTTGTGGGTCTTAGCTGCATCACTCAATATGATTTTTTTGGAACAATCCACTTGTTGCAAATTTCAAGATGTTATTATTTTTTCTGCTGTGTAATACTCCATTGTGTAAATGTACCATATTCTCCTTATCTATTCTTCTATCGATGGGCATTTAGATTGTTTCCAGGTTGTGGCTGTGATAAACAAGCTGCTATGAACAGAAGAGGAAGTGAGCTCAGACTCGATAGCTCTGCTCTCTGGGACAGACGCGATGAAGCTCCAACCTGTAGTAATAGGGGTGGCGGGGCTGCGTCCCCAGCACCCCAGCCACCTGCACAGCTAGCTTTACCCGAAATAACAACACACAAACTGTATTCATTTAAACACTGCTTGGCCCATTCTCTTCTAGGCTAATTCTCACATATTAATTTTGCCCATTTCTAATCATCTGTGTGTAGCACCCCAAGGTGCGCTTACCGGGAAGATTCTAGCCTATGTCCATCCTGGGTTGGAGCTTCATCCCGGGAGCGGGGCATGGCATCTCTCTCAGGCGTCTGCTCCCGAGAGGAGAGCTGTCGAGACTGACCTCACTTCCTCTTCCTCCCAGCATTTTGTTCTGTTTACTCCACCCACAGGGCCAAGCAGTTTCTTTATTGCTTAACTAATGAAATCAACAGATTGATATATGACACTCCCACATCACTTTCCCTTTTTCTGTTTAAACAAAAAAGAAGGCTTTAACTTTAACATAGCAAAATTACATATAACAAAACAGTTATCAAGTAAAAGTTACAATAATCTTTATCATAACTAAGGAAAACTATAACTATAACTAACTATTCTTAACTCCATCAAAGACTCCAGAAAGATATAATATTACCTAAGTAAACAAGAACTAAGAAACTTCAAACTCTAGAAATGACAAAGACATCTCGCTGCTTGGACAGTCACCCAAAGTTCTTTTGTACCGTTGGGGCATCCATCTTCAGCCTTCAGGCCCACGGTATCCAGCAGACATTTCCATAAAGCAGGAAAATTCACTATCTGTTGTGTCCTGCAGAATGTCTCACAGACTCTTTCAAAATGAATCAGGAACCCCGAAAGTTCATCTCACCTTAGGCAAGTTCAGTAGTCCTCTCTCTGTGGGTTCTCTGTGTCCAGTTTATGCAATAGTCCAGGCAAGAGCAGTTTCTTGCCCAAATGGCTATCAAACTCCATAAGGTGCCTCTTCGATGCCCATCTTCCTCTTGAAGTAGATTGGTGCTGCCAGGAGCAGAGTGTCTCATTGTCATGAAAACTCCTCAGTTAATAAAACATTAAATGTCCTATTCTGTAATCTTTGAAAGACATGAAGGATGTCTATCTAAAATATATCTCTATATATCTAGAAAATCTAACTAACATGACTACAAGCTTTACTATTATCGATGATGATCCATTAACAACCTATATTTCTTAATTATACAGTACATATTTAAATGAACTACACAATCACAATACCTTAATCAAAATCAGAAACACTTATACATATAACAAAATTGACCTTAAATCTCTATCAATAAAGCAAAATCTATACTAATGCAAATTATTCATACCTATATCATATCCCCCTTTAAATGTTAAAGAACATTTATAAACATTTTTTGGGAATATGGGCACAGTTATTTCTCTCCAAACTGCTTCCTGCTTAATGGGGGCGTCATTAATTAGGTCTTTCATAGTATAAACTGTGTGCTAGTTTCATCTCAGTTGGCAGTTGTGCGAAGCAATTTTCTGAAGATGTTCACTGCAACCCTTCAGGAGGGCGTGGTCCATCATACCAAATCTTAATAGAAGAAATGAACAGCGTCTCATCCTCCGTGAAAACAAAATAAGAAACTCCTTTCCAAAGTATCATATCCTTAGATCCAAATTCAAAATATCTATGTTGGATTAGTTCAGCAGCATTTATAAATAAATCTCTTTTAGCAGCCTTTGCTCCTTCCTCAGCATTCAAATAATTCAAAGAGAGCATAATAGCATACAGTATCAAAATTCTCTGTGTATTTTCCATCTTTGTGCAGCTTTGTTTTAACCTCTATTTTGTTTATTTTTACTTTTAACTCTTTGCTTTTTGAGACAGGATCTCTTTATCTTTGACCTGAAGTAACTCTGTAGACCAGGCTGTCTTTGAACTCTCAGAGATCCGCCTGTCTCTGCCTCCCAGGCATTCGGGATTAAAGGTGTATACTGCTACACCTTGAACTCACAGAGATCTGTTTGTCTCTGCCTTCTAGGCACTGGGATTAAAGGCGTGTGCTACCACACACAACAACTCTCTTCCTTTTTTTTTTGTTTTTTACTTTAAGAATTTTAACTTTTAGTCTGCATATATTTTTAACACGCTGTAAATCTTTGACGCTCTCTTTACTGTATCTCTCTCTGTTTTTCTGACGACATGAGTCTTTAATTTACCAAGCAATATCAGTAGGATTAAAGGCGTGGCTTTGCTGGCTAGATGTAGCCCATTCCTTAGCTTTCTGTCATTCCAGCCTTGTGGCTGAGGTACCGGCCTGAGCTGCATTCAGTGCCACAAGCCTACAGTGTTTCAATGTCCCTGTCAGCACGCGAGCTTAAGCAGCCTGTGCTTGCAAACTGCACAAACTGCCTGTGTAAAATAGTCAGAGTTTGCCCTGGCAGGACAGCCCAGAAAGCCGGCATTTTTAAACGGCGCAGCTTTTTTCCTGCTACGGCTGAAAACCGAAAAGCATGCTTTCAGCTTTTCGTCAACACCATTTAAGTGTTTCGTGGCAGGACCTCTTAATGAGCTGCAGGCTTTGCAGCTAAAGCTGAGTCAGGAAGCCTCTCTTAGATGAGGCGCTTGCTTGCTTCTGGCAAGCAGAGTAGACCCAAGAAATTGCTGCTACCAAGAAACCAGGCACAATGCTTTCATTTTGTTCTAGAATTACTTCCCAAGCTGTCTCAGGCATTATGTGGAAGCAGTAGTCCACGTGGGCGCCATTTGTAGTAATTGGGGTGGCGGGGCTGCGTCCCCAGCACCCCAGCCGCATGCACGGCTAGCTTTACCCGAAATAACAACACACAAACTGTATTCATTTAAACACCGACCCAGGATGGACGTAGGCTAGAATTTTCCCAGTAATCACGCCTGGGTGCTACACATATTAATTGAAGTGGGCCAGGCAGTGTTTAAATGAATACAGATTGTGTGTTGTTATTTCGGGCCATAAGCTAGCCAGGCGGCTGGGTGGCAGGAACACAGCCCGCAGCTCCTTCTACATGGCTGAAAGTACACTTAATTAAATGCACAACATTCTTAGGCATCACAAACATGCAAATCAAAACAACTCTGAGATTCCATCTTACACCTGTAAGAACGGCCAAGATCAAAAACACTGATGGCAACTTATGCTGGAGAGGTTGTGAAGTATTGCTGGTGGGAGTGCAAACTGTCCCTTTGAGTATCAGTATGGCAATTTCTCAGAAAATTAGGAGTCATTATTTTATAGAGTATATTATATCTAATAACTAGAATCTTTAGGATTATTAACAAAAACATGCACATTTCCCTCACATTTAATTTAATGTCATATGTTGTGATTAAGTTAGTGAAAATTCTCCAGAAATTACTTATTTAATGTACACGATATGGAATTTCCCTCTGTATGTTGTAAATAGCATTGGTTAATCAAGAAACTGTTGGACATATGCAGGGAATAAAGGTAAGTGAGAAAATTAAACTGAAGGCTGGGAGAAAGAAGGAGGAGTTAGGAGAAGTCATGGAACTGCCTCTGGAGACAGATTTGTTAACAGTTTGTTTATAGGCCATGACCTCATGGTGATTCACAGATTAAAGGAGATGGCTTAAATTAATATGTATGAGTTAGACAATAAAAATCTAGAGCTAATGAGCCAAGCAGTGATTTACATAATACAGTTTCTGTGTGATTATTTTGGGGCTATGCTGCTGGGAACTAACTAGCAGGCTCCTTACTACATGTACACTCTTTTCTTACAATCTCCCTGATAGATCTTGCAACATTTCTCCCTATGCACATTATTGACTTCATTCATTTTATCCTGCATAATATTGTACTTTCTTGGCAATAATAATTTGTGTGTGTTAACAGTTCTGAGAAAATGCTTAGAAAAGCATTTTAACAAATTAGGGAATGAATATAAACATAAACATATGGCTCTGACATTTAAACATGTACATGTAAGTGAATGACCTAGTAGGTTACTACCAAATAATTATAAGCACAAAAGAAAAAATGTTTAAGATCATTATCCATCAGAAAAATGCCAATTAAAGCTCAATTTAACTTTATATTTCCCACATTTACAATAACTGTCATTATAAAAATGAATTTATAAAGCAACTAAATGTAAAAAATAAGGACCTCACATACTGCTATTGGTAATGTAAATTATTCCAGTCTCTATATCTGTCACTATGGAATTTCTTCAAAAATGAAGCAAAGAATACTGAAACATCAATATTGAAATATCTAAACCACATTTTAGTCTTGACTTTAAGATATTTAGGTCAGCATACCAAAGAAATACTTGCATAACCATATTTATTGTTTCATTATTTACAATAAAAAGTTATACAATCATATTTTGTCTACCAACATCTGAATAAGTAAAAACATTGCACCACATAAAATAAATTATAAAATTTGCAGGATAAAGGATGTAACCAGAGAGCAATATATTTGTCACAATGTCAAGTTTATATAATCAAGTATGTAACTTAAAAGTAGAAGAAAATTTGTAAAATTAAAAGCATTAAAAGGAAGGATATTGAAGAGAACAGAAAGATGAAAGAAGGATGAATACTGTAAAGTTATATAACATACATGAAGGAAAAGGTCTTTTTGAAACCATGCACTGTGTTTAATGAATATATATAATGAAAGTATTTATAAAATAACTAAGATGAAGAAACCAAAGGATTTAAGAGATTGCCAACCTTTGTGAATAAGAATCTGTTCCTTGCCGGGCTTTGGTGTCGCACGCCTTTAATCCCAGCACTCGGGAGGCAGAGGCAGGTGGATCTCTGTGAGTTCGAGACCAGCCTGGTCTACAGAGCTAGTTCCAGGACAGGCTCCAAAGCCACAGAGAAACCCTGTCTCGAAAAACCAAAAAAAAAAAAAAAAAAAGAATCTATTCCTTATTGACCATATATATATATATATATATATATATATATATATATATATATATATATCAAATTATTTATATAGGGCAGATAATACTTTACCATTAAGACAGTGAATAAATGTATAATGGTGTATATGTGCTCTTAGTGTTCATGTTTACTGTGGGATAATACTCTTGCATACTGTAAAGATTTGTCATTCATATTTGTTTAATAAATCACTGATTTAGCCAGGAGCCAGGCAGAAAGTTCAGGCAGGCTAATCAGACTACAAGAATTTTGAAAGGACAAAAGGCAGAGATACAGTTGCCAGGCAGAAACAGAGATAGCAAGATGAGAATGCTGCACTGAGAAAAGGTACCAAGACACATAGCTCAACATTGACAAGAACTATGGTTTAATTTAAGTTGTAAGAGCTAGTTAATAATTAGCCATAATTAGCATTAGCTAGACAAAAGGGTATGTAATTAATATTAAGCCTCCGAGTGGTTATTTTATAAGCAGTTTTGGAACTAGTGGGATGGAGAATATTTGTAGCAATACATGTGCTTATATATGTGTGTTTGTGTGTCTGTGTGCATGTTTGCATATATAACGTTTTTAATTGTTTTGAAATTAATTTTATTGAGCTATACATTTTATCTGATCCCTGCCCTTCCCTTCAGCCTTTTCGGGTCAAAGACAAATGTTAAAATAAACTCACTGAAATAAGAAATAAAACCCAAACAAGCATGCTGTTCTGAGACCAATGGCACACAGTGCTTTAACATCCCTGGCTTCTGTCAATCATTATTTGGAGGGCAAAAATTTTCCCTGAGCATCACTGTGATGGTTAAGCATGAAAACTCAGAGGCTTTAGCTTAAGGTTCAGAGATGAGCATAAGTATCATTGGTTATCATTCATTCATTATGACTTAATTGGAGTCTAGGCTTGAGGCCAGTTTGTCCCTGTGGTGCCATTTCTCTATACATGTTCATGGTCTGATCAGGTTCCTATTCTTTTTTTAAAATTATTTTTATTTTTATTCTTTATTACTTTATAAATAATTCCAATCAAGATTTCTAATTCTTCCACTCCTCTCACTTCCTTCCTGCTCCCTCACTCATCCCCCTCCCCCTCCAGTTCTAAGAGAGGGCAGGGTACTCTGCCCTGTGGGAAGCCCAAGGCCCTCCCCCTACATCCAGGTTTAGGTAGGTATGCATCCAAATAGAATAGGATCCCAAAAAGCCAGTACATGCAGTAGAGACAAATCCCAGTGTCGTTATCATTGGCTTCTCAGTCTTGCACAATTGTCAGCCACATTCAGAGGGTCCAGTTTGATCCCATGCATGTTTAGTCCCAGTCCAGCCAGGTTTGGTGAGCTCCCATTAGCTCAGTGGGTGGACCAACCCCTCAAGGTCCAGACTTCCTTGCTTATTTTTTCCCTCCTTCTGCTCTTTAGCTGGACCTTGGGAGTTCAGTCCAGTGTGCAGATGTGGGTCTCTGTCTCTAAAAGCATTTGTAATAGCTAGAACCTGGAAACAACCTCGATGCCCCTCAATGGAAAAATGTATAAAGAAAGTGTGGCTCCCCGTCTGAGCTCCAAAGGTCCAAATGAGGAACAGAAGAAAGGAGAACATGAGCAAGGAAGTCAGGACTGCGAGGGGTGCACCCACCCACTAAGACAGTGGGGCTGATCTATTGGGAGCTCACCAAGGCCAGCTGGACTGGGACTGAAAAAGCATGGGATAAAACCGGACTCTCTGAACGTGGCGGACAATGAGGGCTGATGAGAAGCCAAGGACAATGGCACTGGGTTTTGATCCTACTGCATGTACTGGCTTTGTGGGAGCCTAACCAGTCTGGATGCTCACCTTCCTAGACCTGGATGGAGAGGGGAGGACCTTAGACTTCCCACAGGGCAGGGAACACTGACAGCTCTTTGGACTGGAGAGGGAGGGGGAGAGGAATGGTGGGAGGGGGCAAGGATGGTAGGAGGCAGAGGGAAATGGGAGACTGGAAGGAGGCAGAATTATTTTTTTCAATACTAAATAAATAAATAAATAAATAAATAAATAAATAAACTAGACATCTGGGTTTGGAAGAAAAATCTAGCATTCCTGTCTCCCATTTGTTCCAACTTAGCTTCCATGTAAAAGGGAAAATACACCGATTATCTGGATACTGTGTATTATTGTTTTGTCTTTTAATTGTTTTACTGTGAGGAATGAGCAATGGCTACTAGGAGAAATTTGATTATGAATGCTGCTGATTTAATCCAACCTATATATTTTGAAAATAACTTGACTTCAAAATTTAATTAGAAATGTTTGTTTCTAATTAAATTTTGAAGACCAGGACCAGAGCTGGAAGGAGGAGGTGGTGTCCAAAGATACTTGGATGAAAGGCTTGCTCAAGTCCACCTGTCTGTATGGGCAGCTCCCCAAGTTTCAGGATGGAGACCTTACCCTGTACCAATCTAATGCCATCTTGAGGCACTTGGGCCGATCCCTTGGGCTTTATGGAAAAGATCAGAAGGAGGCTGCCCTGGTGGATATGGTGAATGATGGGGTGGAAGACCTTTGCCTGAAATACATCACCCTCATCTACACCAAATATGAGGAAGGAAAGGATGACTATGTGAAGGCCCTGCCTGGACACCTGAAACCTCTCGAGACCCTGCTGTCCCAGAACCAAGGAGGCAAAGCCTTCATCGTGGGTGACCAGATCTCCTTCGCCGATTACAACTTGCTAGATCTGCTGCTGATCCACCAGGTCCTGGCCCCTGGCTGCCTGGACAACTTCCCCCTGCTCAGTGCCTATGTGGCACGCCTCAGTGCCCGGCCCAAGATCAATGCCTTCCTGTCTTCCCCTGAGCATTTGAACCATCCCATCAATGGCAACGGCAAGCAGTAATGTAGGGAGAGACCGGAGCTGCCTGTCCTCCTTTCCCCAGCACTAATAAAGTTTGTAAGACTTAAAAAAAAAAAAGAAATGTTTGTTACTTTGGAGAACAGGTTTTGCTTTTGTTTCCTCAAAAAAATAAGAGGCTGTGGATTCATTCTGAGTTAAGAAAAATAAAGTCTGATCAAAGAAGACCTCCTGAAAAATCTTCAGGGGGAACCAATGGCCCAGATGTCCCAATGTTTCAGAGAACCTCTCTTGCAGTTTCTTCTGAGTTGTGCATCCAGAGTTGCTTCAAGGTGCTGGCTGAGATGATCCAGCCTTACAGAATACTCCAGTGAGGACTTTAACATAAACATAAATTTCCTTTGGCTTACCAGTCAGCAGTAAATAGCCTAAAAACCTATGCCCACATTTCCAAAAAATGGATGATGGCTGTTTGGCTTTGTTTGGTGTATTGGTTATAAGTTGTTATGGACAATAGTCAGGAAAGAAAACAAAACAAAACAAAACAAAAGGACAGTAGATTCACTATCTTACTTTGAAAAGAAAAAAAAGGAGATGTAGATATGATTGGATAAAATGATAGATTATTGAATCTACTTTGTTTTCTTTTTGGTTGTTTTTTGATTATTTTTTAAATGAAAACAAACTATCATTTTTGATTATACATACCAATCCAAGTTCACACCCCCCTTCCTCCTATTCCCTCCACATACCTTCCCATCTGACCCCATCCAATTCTCAAAGAGGATAAAGGCACATTGCTTTGAGAGAAGGTCCAAGGCCCTCTCTGCTATATTTAGGCTGAGCATGGTATCCATCCAAAGATATGCAAAAAGAGAAAGCTAGTACATGCAATAGGGATAAGTCCTGGTGCCACTTTTTAAAAGCAACTATTAGTTTTATATGTTAGTTTATATTAGTTTACATTGGTTTTACTTTTGTATATTATAAACAAATTTGTACATTAATTAAAATTTGGGATTTATTTTGTTAGAACACACTGTACATATATTTCTACTCTTATTTAAGGTACATACCTATATAATTCATTTAACAATGTAATGCAAACTTCTTTTTTTTGTTTTTTATTTTCTTTTTTTTTAATTTATTTATTTATTAAAGATTTCTGTCTCTTCCCCGCCACCGCCTCCAATGGCAATGGGTTTCTGATCCTACTGCATGTACTGGCTTTGTGGGAGCCTAGGCAGTTTGGATGCTCAACTTACTAGACATGGATGGAGATGGGGGTTCCTTGGACTTCCCACAGGGCAGGGAACCCTGATTGCTCTTTGGGCTGATGGGGGGGACCTAACTGGGGGAGGGGGAGGGACATGGGAGGCGGTAATGCAAACTTCTATGTTTTGAAAGTTCTTCTTACCAATTGTTTAGGATAGTAAGGAAATACAGGTTAGTAACTAGTCACCTAGAATAATTGAACTTATAGTCATATAATGTATGTTTTCAAGTTTAAACAACAAAATATTTTAGATATACAGGTCATCTTCAAAGACTTCAGAGATCTACAGAATATGTCATTTAAGATATTTTAATAACCTAGGTTCTTCTTCCATTTTATGACAATGAGACATGTCTGCTCCTGGCAGGACTATTCTAATTTAGAGAGGATAATGGGCATGAAAGAAACTCCACACAGTGTTTACTTTCTTTGTAGCCAAAGTAAGCCACTGGGTAAAGAAATGCCCTTGCCTCAACTACTGACAGTATGCTGTCCTAATTAGACAAGCAGAATACTGAAGAAATTAACTGCTAAAACTTGTCATGATAAGGAGAGACAGCCCTTCAGAATGTTCTATTTTTAAAAAAAGTCTGTCAGTTATGCTAGACCTATAGGCCACATACAAATATTACAATATTACAGAGGGATTTTGAGTGACTATTCAGACAGCCAGACATTTCTGTCATTACTCATATTTTTTGGAAGTCACTTCCTTGCAATTCCTGCTTACTCAGTTAATTTTATTTCCTTCTTGGGTCTCTGAGGGAGTTGAAAATTAGATAGTTATTTCCATGTTTACCTGATGCAGAAAGAAAGTTATGATAGAAAGTAAATTAGAAAGACTTTAGATTCACCAAGATAGGATAGATATAAAGTATTATCTCTGAATTTGTCAAATGCAGATGGATTAGACATTTTTATGTATTTTTGCCTGTGTATATTGCATATAGTTATTTTACTTATTACATATTTTCTAAGTAGTCCACCATGATCAAGTTGGCTTCATCCTAGATATACAGGAATGGTTCAGCATACAAAAATCTGTCAATGTAATCAACCATATAAACAAACTGATTAAAAAAAAAACAATGAGCATCTCATTAGATAATGAAAAAGTCTTCAACAAAATACAACACCCCTTCATGATTAAGGTCTTAGAAAGAGCAAGGATACATGAACATACCAAAACATAATAAAAAGCAATACACTGCAAGCTATCAACCAACATCGAACTGAATGGAAGGATACTCAAAGGACCCCACTAAAATCAGGAACAAGACAAGGTTGTCCACTCTCTGCATATCTATTCAATATAGTACTTGAAGTTCTAGCTAGAGCAATAAGACAACAAAATGATATCAAGGGAATGCAAATCATAAAAGAAAAAGTTAATCTGACTATTTGCTGGTGATATGATACTTTATATAAGTAACCCCAAAAATTCTACCAAGGAACTTCTGCAATTCATAAATGCCTTCAGTATTATAACAGGATACAAGATTAACTAAAAAAATTGTTTTCCTCCTTTACACAGATAATAAATTGGCTGAGAAAGAAATCAGAAAAACATTACCCTTCATAATAACATAAAGTATTTTGGAGTAACACTAACCAAACAAGTGGAAGAGCTGTATGACAAGAACATTAAATATTTAAAGAAAGAAACTGAAGGAGACACCAGAAAATAGAAAGATCTCTCATTCTTGTGGGTAAGTAGAATTAAAATAATAAAAATGGCAAGCTTACCAAAAGCAATCTGTCAATATAGTGCAATACTCATCAAAATCCCAGTAAAACTCTTCACAGACCTCGAAAGAACAATACTCAACTTTGATGTGGGAGTGTCATATATCAATCTGTTGATTTCATTGGTTAAGCAATAAAGAAACTGCTTGGCCCTCATAGGTTAAGACATAGGTGGGAAGAGTAAACAGAACAGAATGCTGGGAGGAAGAGGAAGTGAGCTCAGACTCGACAGCTCTGCTCTCTGGAAAGAGACACCATGCTCCCATCTCCAGGGCGGACACGAGAGCTCTGGTCTCTGAGGCACACTCGATGAAGCTCCGACCCAGGATGGACGTAGGCTAGAATCTCCCTGGTAAGCCACCTCGTGGGCTACACTTGAAATGGGCTAGTCCAGGTGCGAGAGTTAGCCAAGAAGAGGCTAGATAGAAATGGGCCAAGCATTGATTAAAAGAATACAGTGTCTGTGTAATTATTTCAAGGTATAAGCTAGCCAGGCGGCCGGGGTGCTGGGGATGCAGCCCCGCCGCTCTTATTACTACACAACTTCATATAGAAAAGCAAAAAACCCAGGATAAGTAAAACAATCCTGTACAATAAAGGAACTTCTGGAGGCATCACAATCCATGACTTTGAAATCCACTACAAAGTTACAGTACTGAAAACAGCCTAATATTAGCATAAAAACAGACAGGAAGATCAATGGAACCAAACCAAAGACCCAGTTATCAATCCACACACCTAAGAATACCTGATTTTTGAGAAAAAACAGAAAATATCAGTTGTAAAAAAGAAAGCATATTCAACAAATGGTGCTGGCATAACTGGATATCAACATGTAGAAGAATGAAAATAAGTCCATATCTATCACCATGCAAAAAACTCAAGCCCAAATGGATCAAAGACCTCAACATAAATCCAAACACACTGAGTCTCACAGAAGAGAAAGTGGGAAGTACACTTGAACACATTGGCACAGGAGACCTCTTCATAAATATAACCCCAGTAGCATAGACACTGAGAGAAAAAAACTAATAAATTGTACTTCATGAAACTGAGAAGCTTCTGTAAAGGAAAAAACATTGTAAAAAAGGAAAAACAAAACACTACATAATCGGAAAAGATCTTCAACAAACCGACATTGGACAAAGGGATAATCTCCAAAATCTACAAAGAACTCAAGAAATTGGTCATCAAAAGAAAAAGAAAAAAATAATTCAATAAAAAATGGGGTATAGAACTAAAGAGATATCTCTCAGGAAATGAATCTAAAATGGTTGAAAGACACTTAAAGAAATGCTTAACATCCTTAGTCATCAGAGAAATGCAAATCAAAGCAATTCTGAGATTCCATCTTACACCTGTACGAATGGCCAATATCAAAACCAGTGATGAAAACTTATTCTGAAGAGGATGTGGAGTAAAGGTTATGCTCCTCCATTGCTGGTGGGAGTGCTAACTGTACAGCTGCTTCAGATTTAAGTATGAGTGATTTCTCATAAAATTAGGAATCAACATTCCTCATGACCCAGCAATACCACTTTTGTGTATATACCCAAAAGATGTTCAATTATACCACAAAGATATGTGCTCATCTATGTTTATAGCAGTATTGTTTGTCATAGCCAGAACCTTGAAACAACCTAAATGCCCCTTGACCCAAGAATGGATAAAGGAAATGTGTTACCCAATGGAGAACTATACAGTAGAAAAGAATAATGACATCTTAAAATTTTCGGGCAAATGGATGGATCTAGAAAACATACTGAGTGAGGTAATCTATACCCAGAAAGACAAATATCATATGTACTCACTCACAAGTGGCTTTTATATTTTTTTTTATTTTATTTATTTATTTATTTATTTATTGGTTTTTTGAGACAGGGTTTCTCTGTGGCTTTGCAGCCTGTCCTGGAACTAGCCCTGTATACCAGACTGGTCTCGAACTCACAGAGATCTGCCTGCCTCTGCCTCCTGAGTGCTGGGATTTAATGGTGTGCGCCAAATATCATATGTACTCACTCATAAGTGGCTTTTAGAC